TATGTATATGTTTGGAAGCAGATGGATCCAGCAAAAATAGACTCAGTGTGTTTCTGTCATCTAGAATAAAAGAAAAATAAAAGAAGAAAAGCCCAGTTCCATCTACGAACAATCACAAAGTAAGACCTGTGAGCTCAAAAATCGCCTTAACTAATGGACACTCTTGCAACGCAGTGCATTTTTTGTAACTTGAAAGCTATATCCTAAAGCAAGCTAAAGTCCTTATAACGTATGTACAGGGTAGAGGCTCTATCGCTGGCTCTCTGAGTTCCTTGGAGTCAGTGACCACAGATTCAGACCTGGACTACGACTACCTCCAAAGCTGGGGGCCGCGCTTCAAGAAACTTGCCGATCTTTACGGCACCAAAGACTCGGCTGATGACAACTCTTAACATTCACTCAAATAAGTCATTTTTCATCTCCCTCCACCCGGCCCTCCTCCACTAACTGTGTGTTTTGTGAAGTTTACTATAAGTATTCCATGAGTTTTTCACTTTATAGTAAACTTTAGGCTGTTTGTTAGTATACGCGCAGTATACTAGATGCTGGGAGTGTCATAGGTACGATCACAATGTGCTATGGGGGAGTCAGAAAGGTAGAAATATATATTTTTTGTCAAAAACAAAAAGCTCAAAAATCGCCTTAACTAATGGACACTCTTGCAACGCAGTGCATTTTTTGTAACTTGAAAGCTATATCCTAAAGCAAGCTAAAGTCCTTATAACGTATGTACAGTACAATGTGCAAAATATGTCTCTTAATGATCAATCTTACACCGAACAGTTTATGTAAATCTTTCTCTTTCTTCTTTTTTTTATTATGATGATATTATGACCATCAATTATTTTATTTATTTTAATTTTTTTTTTTTTTTTTTTTCAGTTTACGAAAATGTTTTTTGAAATATCGAAATATCGGAAATGTGTTTAAAAATCATATCACCGTTATTGAAAAAAATTATATCGCGATACATAGTAAACTTTAGGCTGTTTGTTAGTATACGCGCAGTATACTAGATGCTGGGAGTGTCATAGGTACGATCAGTACGATCACTGGGGGAGTCAGAAAGGTAGAAATATATATTTTTTGTCAAAAACAAAATAAAACAACAACAACAACAAAAAAGACACATAGACACATCTGTGGTGGGCGTGTCTCTGTGGAGTGTATGAAATAAGGAAATATGTGACAATGTTGTTTAAGAACTGAAGAACATTACGTTTCACTATTGATGTTTGTAGGTTCCTACAGGTTTGAGGTTATGGATGTGGATCACAGAGAGACATGGATTTGCTGATACTGTGAACGAGCTCACGAAGAAATAAAAACAAAAACAGTTGCCTTATTAATAATCTGGAGCGAATGTCAGCAAATTAAGACTTCTGTAACTTCTGTAGTGCCTCCATATTGTCTTTGGAGATATTGTCCAAACAGGTCATCTTGTTTTTTATATATATATATATATATATATATATATATTTGGAAGCAGATGGATCCAGCAAAAATAGACTCAGTGTGTTTCTGTCATCTAGAATAAAATAAAAAAAGTAAAGAAAAATAAAAACCCTTCAGCCCAGTTCCATCTACGAACAATCACAAAGAAAGACCTGTGAGCTCAAAAATCGCCTTAACTAATGGACACTCTTGCAACGCAGTGCATTTTTTGTAACTTGAAAGCTATATCCTAAAGCAAGCTAAAGTCCTTATAACGTATGTACAGTACAATGTGCAAAATATGTCTCTTAATGATCAATCTTACACCGATCAGTTTATGTAAATCTCTCTCTCTCTCTCTCTCTCTCTCTCTCTCTCTCTCTCTCTCTCTTTTTTATGATGATATCATTATGACTATCTTTTTTTTTCAGTTTTCTTCATTTCTCATTCTCTTTAATGGCTTATGTTATTCTCCTTGGTGAGAAAATAGCAGTCTGTCTTGTCGCAGTGAGAAATGGCTAATTTCTATGTCGATTTTATGGTAACTATTTGTACAATTTTAAAAGTTCTTATTTTAGTATACATACAAATATCAGTATTTCAACATGTAAGGAAAATATTACAGCATCACACTTATATTTTATGAACATTGTACTGTTGCTTTATTATGTGCTTCAATCTAAGAAGCAAAAACTTTGAAATAAATGCTCTTTTTATAAAAATTAAGAAATATTTGTGGCGGTACGAAATTTGTGTGAACACAATGTATCGGCGTTTGCACAACGTATAACCACTGTAGCACGACTCATGATGGAAACACAAAGGTTGAATATGAATGCTGTGCAGCACATGAATTGCATTCGCACTCCGCACTCGCAGCAGAGCTTTTCACCGGCGTCTTCTGTGCTTTCCAGTGGTAGGTCTCTCCATTGTCTCCCGTCTCCCAGGCTCGCATTCTTTCCTTTCCCAGGGTAGCCGCACACTGAAAGGTCAATGTGCACTTTGTTAAAAAAAAGAAAAAGAATGAAAAGAAAAATAGTCTTACATAAAACCGAACTTCAGCCCACCTGAATGAGATTGGACACCAATTTCCCTGAAGGGCCTTGGAAATAAACAGAAGAGCAAGATGAGCACCTCTTCTCGCCCATGCAGGAAGACTACATTTGCCGTAATCGTGTATGAAGTGAAGCACAGGAAGCACAGGATGATGACAAACCGTTTCCTGTGGAACCGTAGCCCTTTGCTATCCTCCATGGAATCCTGGGTGTCCTTAACAAGCAGCTAAAATGCATGCCCTTTAAAAATACTGGTTTTGGTTTATTCCACCGGTGTTATTGTCAGAAAGGATATGGCTATCTGTGCTTCTGAGTAGGAAAAATTGTCACTCTGCATGAGTTTTTCTTGTCATGTCTCTAGACGTGTTCTGTCAAAGAACTACGTGCGAGTCATCGGAGGCACACTAGCAGCGGGGGGCATCC